GTGGAATTGTGAAGGGATGTTTCTTGACAGCCCTGACGGCCAGTATGAAATTTTTTTAGCTAGAAGCATCTGCCGGAGAAACAGTGCTATTAGCGACAAAAAACTGCGAGAAACTATGCTAAAAACGCATCTTCGCACGGGGCAGCTCTGCGTTGCCAATTATCAAACAATTATTATATCATTTTAGAACAGGACACAAGATAACATGAGTACTGACATAAATTTTAACGTTTGGAACGACAAACCTCCTCCTTTGGCATGAACAACACGTTCGGGCACTCTCTCACGATCAAATTTTGCCATTTCATCAAGATAGACAATATCCTGCATCAGCATTGGTCCTTTTGGTCCAATTGAGAGTGATGCCAAACGATCCCCAATTGGCGCTCCATTTGCCATTGCAAGCGGAAGAGGACTCTATAAGTCCAGGAATTATTTTCCAGTCTTAAGCATCCTGAACCGATAGGCTAGCTCGAATGTATGAAATGGTATGAATGCTGGGAAGTACCAAATCGTAGTCAATGGAAAGTGCCAGCTGCATAAGTGGAGAGATAAATTAACGGTTGGACATTTTCAGCCGTGAAAAATTTCTGTAAAAGAGTACAGAAAGATTCAATTTCATTTCAGTATCCATTACTTGGATACAGGAACAGTAGATGCGCACTATGTTTGGTAACCTAAATTTGAGGAGATGAAACAAACATCAGGACTGCCAGCAGGTAGCACAGGTCAAAGCGAGAGGAAAAGTCTTCAGCTGCATAACCGGGAAACCATGTTTCGAATTACTTGGTTGAAATAACCGAAATAAAATATCCACTGCAAAAACGTCCTTAACAGATAACTTACGGGATGAGTTTGTTTGTAGGTAGAGAGCTGCTTCTGGTGCGGTTTCTCGTCACCTTGCGTTTTCCCCATTCTTTCAGTCGTCAGCTGGAAAAGGCAGCTTACTTATTCTCACGATGCAAGCGACTTCGCACTTCTCACTGGTATAAATTTGCCAAAAAAGCGTGAAGTTTTCGTCTTATTTGCCACTTTCGGTCATAAGTTCGCTTTAATCCCCAAATTTATGATTTCAACACACAGCCACTGCTTACCCTCCTCCTCCTCAACCGAAACTCAAATGCAGTAGCCAAACAGAAGCACCGAATTTTAGGCCGGAACTACTTTCGCAGACAACTTGAACGCAATTCAAGCATATGCTTCAACTAAAAGTCATCGCTACCATTTATTTGTTCTTCAGGGCAGCCTCCCAGAAACATGCGATTACATCGTTGATCAATACGAGCAAAAATGATAAACAACAACAGGTCCCTCG